GGTACATAATGTATGATTATTAAGAAGAAAACAAACTATATCTCATTTTTATTATTTTACACTTTATCTCTCGAGAAAAGATATAAAGTACATTTTTTTTTTGCTATCAGTGCAAAGCGTCTTCGTGAAATGGATTAAATATCTAATTACTTTTATCGATATTTAGCCATTTTCGAAAATGTTTATAATCAAACGCAATTGAAATTGTGCAGGAATTTTCATTCTTTATTTCCTGTCTCGCTCATAAATTTTTAGTCAGTGACATTCTTAAAACACAATCACTAATTATTAAGTATAGAATTATGAGCAACGTACAGAGATAAAAAATTAGAGAAAGTTTAATGTTGAGGAGGGCTAAAGAAAACGTTGAAAGAAAAGGACAATACGAATAAAGCAAAAATCTGTACACACGCATTGTTTCCAGCTTGTCACGCGGGGTAAAGTTCATAACGAACCGACTTTCACCGGATTTAAGACGCGCTTGTTAAAACGGGTGGTTTCATTGCGAACTTATCGTGAACTTATCGTGAACTCGAATGAGACGGACGCATTAAATGCATTTTTCCACCGATAAGGAATCGCAAAGCACGAGCTGCGCGTACGTCGACGCCTCACGCCACACGACACTGCCAAGACTTCTCGCGAACCTATCCGTCAAAGCGCACGATAAATCTAACAATGAAAGTAGTCTGAATTTCCGCTGATCGATAGAACATTAAATTAAAGCGATGGTAAGAGACATCAAAGAGATTGTCAGATTCAAGAAACGAAGCATGTACACGTACACACGTATCATTCCTCTTGAATCGTTCTCTTTACACAAACAAGATGAGAAAAAGCTACTTTGCAGAATTTAATCAATTCCTTTATCTTCTACCAAATAAAAAATATTGAACTAACCACGCGCTAAGATTCACTCCAATCAACCTTCATCGGTGCTCCGTCAAAGTTCAAGAGGAATGAGTCAAGGGAAGGAGTGAGGCGACTCGATTTTCTTGTTTCCTATTCGTATCTGAGTTCGCGAGAAACACTGATTTCCGAAGATATGAAAATGTGATAACGATAGGTCGCGACATTTTTCTTTGCGGTCGTTGCACTGCTGTTGCACTTACCCAGGGCTTGAATCATGTAATGTCGTTAGCTAATCAAGCATTGATGTCACACGACGTTACGTACAGAAAATCTTTGCTTCAGATTCCGTGAATTCGTTTGCGCACCAGGAAACGAAGAAAAACAAATGCGTTTGTTTCAGAATTGACCGGGAAAACCACGCATAAAGATGAATGTATTAAAAAAAGTTAAATAAAATTTTGTGTCTAATTCACTAAATAACACATTTCGTTGAATCTAATTGGAGATTATCACAGCGTCGCTCATTAGCATTCATCTCCGAGCGATATCTGGTCATCTGGCGCACTTAAAGCTGCGCATGTAGATCCGGGTAAGTCGCGAATTTCTCGATAAGGCTGACGTCATAGAAGCGCAGTTTAATTACGTTTATCTCGAGGGCAGACGCCGCCTCTGCGTTCGAGAGCATCTTTCGAGCGATACGAGCGACTGAATTAATTAGTATCAGTGGGGAGGGTTAATTAGAGGCGTTATCGGGTGTTCGAGATCGACCGACGGAGGCAGGATCGGCGAGACGGGGGGCAGAATGTGTGATTCCCCTTGTCCAGCCAGCATCCACAATGTTCCCTTGACGATAAAAATTCGAAACGCGCCGCGTTTGTAGAAACGACCGCGACGCTTTGCTTGTATAAATACCATCCGCAAAGTCCAGTCCAACTTCAGTGCGCCGAGACACGCTAGCTCTCTCTTGCAAACGCTGTCACGCTTGTCTGTTTCTACTGTCTAATTCTACTTACTGAGAAACATGGGTAAGTCGTTCTTATTACACAGTGAAAAATTGAATAAATATTCTGTTCCACGAAAATACTCGTATAATTAGATGTTGCTTCTTTCAGTAATGTGTTATTTTTTAAATTGCACTTCAATTGAATAAAATTTCACAGAAAACAGACATAACAAACGCAGACGTTCTTCTGGATCGGAAAAGGCGAAGGAGATAGAGGCAATAAACGGACTCGTTTCCGGAAAGAATGTCCTTATCACCGGTGGGGCTTCAGGTTTAGGAAACGCGTTCATGAACCATTTTCTGAAACACGGTGCAAACGTAAGTATTGCATTCTCGTACGTTTCACAAATCTACGTCATCATATCACCGCTTACTTTATTACTTTCAGAGGATTACTATATTGGACGTCGATGCGGAAACAGGGAAACGCGTGGAACTGAGCGTAGAAAAGTCTTGCGGAGAGAAGAAGGTGCATTTTATTCACGCTGACGTCTCCAACCCTGAACAGATGACTGGTGAGCATTGAGAAAATGATAACGATTTGATAAAGAATTTTTACAAAAGTTCCTAAAACGCTGGACCCCTCCGTGAAATAATTGATAACGTTCGAGACGCTCGTTCAAAGTCAATATAATATAATAATATAAACATTTTGATTGCATAAAAAAGTCGGGCATTTGCCATCCGTAAAGAGTGTATTTTACTTACTACTAACTTTATTAATGTGTATTAATCTTTATATTAACATTTTGTAGCGGCTTTCGAAGAGGCAGTCAGATTAATGAACGATATCGATATCGTTATAAATAACGCTGGCATTTTGGACGAACGACGGTGGGAAAAAGAGATAGCAGTTAACATCGTAAGTGTACACGAATAAATCATATGTCGTTTCTTTTTTAATTTGTTTTATTTAGAATGAAAATCATTGTATTCTCGTGATCGATATGTTAGGGAGGAATGGTCTGTACCGCGTTATTGGCTGTGAAGTACTTGAGCAGAGATCAACTAGGACACGGAGGAACTTTGGTGAACGTCAGTCAACATATAGACATCAGAACCACCGCACAACTTCCGGTTTACACAGCTACCAAACATGCGATCATTGGTCTATCGCAATCCCTCGCGGTAAGATATTCAATAATATAAATTGTACTACAAACCATTTAAAAACTTACATGTACATAAATTAAAATCGAGCGTTACCATCACCTTACAAAATATACAAAAATTAGTACTAAAAGATCTAACAAGAATTTCTATATAAATCTACGCTAGAGCACTTATCAGTACGAGACGTCCGGCATTCGCGTGATAACACTGTGTCCCGGATTAACGGAGACCGCACTGACAGTGGACAGTCCAAATAAATTACTTTCCCGAGTGATGAAAGCTGATTTCGTTAAAAACCTTGAACAACTATCGATACAAACGTGAGTACTCATTCTTAAACTATCTCAACCGAAATAAATACGGCAATTTATTTCTTATCGCGTATATTTATTTGCAGTCCGTATGTGGTGGCTCAGGGTCTAATGTCAATCCTAAGGATTGGACAGTCCGGTAGTATATGGGTAGTCGAAAATGGTCGGACTCCTTACGAGGTTTGCGTACCAAATCCGCGAACGTTGCGGCGCACATACAAGAACAATTTCACGCTGGTCGAAACGAAAGTGACGACGAGAGGTCGTCCGATAAGAGAGGTCTGCGACAACACGCGAACGGGTCTGATGAGTTGCGCTTGATGAAGTAACGGAGGAACATCGTTGAGCATGATCTTCCGCATTCTTCAAGAAATCCTGAACATTGGAACTGCTTCGTTTCCTCGTCGGTTCGACGTCGTTTCATATGAAAACATCGCGCCGCGCGATGTACACGGCTATTCGCGAATGGACGGTTGTTACGAAAATGATGAGAGATTAAATCGGACCTGATTCGATGGCCTGAAAACAATTGAGAGAGGGTGGTCTCAAGCTACACGTCCTATTTGATACTTTGTATAGACAAATTAATACAATGTTAAGTATTTATATAGATAATGCACGCGTATACACAATGATGTTTTGTACACGAAAGAAGGCTCTAGCGCTTAAGACTAATTGTTGACAATAATCATGCAATGTTTTTCTTATACGATTGAGTCTCTTTTTATTTCTCTCTGTGTGTTGAATAATGACGATTTACAATTATTTTCGTTTGATGCCGAACAATTATTCTTTCACCCGTACGAAAAACACAACCATAATTGACAAATATTTTCTGAACAAATATCTCTCGAAGTAATTGGTGGGCTTAAAGAGTACAACAAACGTTATTTTATTACTTCAGTATTATTCAGCAATTGGAAATCACAATATCTGCTGTACAAAACAAAAACTTATCATCCGGAAAACCGCATATACCGTGCATTTCTTTACACGTACAATGCATAAAACTTAAAAGTTATATCCTTTTTTTCTTTCCCCCATATTTCTTCCTATAGTTTACTTATCTTTACTCATATATGCTTTATACTTTTTTTTTATTTTTTTTTGTAGTTTTACCTTACTTCGCAACTTTACTGATAGCTTATGGAGGTTCCTTTGACTTATATATAACTAAATCTCATGTTCTGTATATATCTGTATACGCATGGGACTCCATGTGAGCCATAAGAAAATAACAGTCGCAAATAATATACCTATTCTTCTTATTTTCGCGTCTTACATCTTTAAGGACATTATCATGATTTTCTAGAGTTTTACTCTCGCGATCAGCACACAGCGTCCTCGTACATCAAAGTATTTCATCGAAAATTGCAAGCTATTAAACGCAGTCGAACTACAAGAAGGCACGCGCACTATTCCATTTTCACCTCCGCTAGCATACCACGTTCAATATTTCAAAAACTAATAGTCAATACGGTCGATGTACGATTCGGCTTCGCACAAGTGTATCTCATTTAATCATACGAAATCAATATCTTTTTTTTGTATTTTTCCCTTTCCCGTTTCTAAGGAACGATTCAAAGTTCCTGTTCGAAAAATCAAAACCTCCTGGCAAACACGTGAGTAAAATAATTATCTCATAATTCATATACACGGTCATCATCTCAAATAAATAAAGTTTTGACTGTTCGAAATAATCATAACATATTGTCCTATTACTATTCTGCGATTTACGCATGTTCCATTGTTTCCCCTTGCTAAATTTTTTTTCGATTTTACTTTTATTCGCAAGAAGCTATAAAAAACATTTAGCGTTTCATGTGCCTCGTTTGAAAGGATCCATAACTCATGCAACACGAAATATTATAATTACGTAGTCACTTTTCTTTCTTTATACAATCTTTCTTAAAATCGACTCATGCTATTTTCTCATTTTACAAAAATTTCTTTGAGATTCCTCTCTTAATCATACAGTTGCATGCTTGCCGAGCTAATTAGTAGTATTCAAAACTGTGTAACTAAAAATTTCAAACTTGCCACTTCGCACAAGTTTCGCTTGCAAATATTCTACTGTCCAGTGTATATTGTACTTAGTTACATTCATAAGCATTCCATGATTCTTTAATTCGTAGGACATATCTCTAAATATCGAGATTTTTCAAAATTAACTCTACCGATCACAATGATTCGTATTTATTTGTCCACAAAATTCTAAACGCAGGATTTGTAAAGTATGGATTAGTGTCCCACGTTTTCATTTGATATACAAAAAAATTCACAATGAAGTTCTGTCAAAGAACTTCTGATCCTTTCATATCATTTTTCTTACCAATATTCTTTCTTCTACAAACCATCGATCTCCTATCAAACTTGAATAGACTAGATTAAGATTTTTACGCAAACGTGCTCTGAATCTTATTACTACATAAGGGAAGACCGCGTATCGTAAAAATCTTAATCTAAAGTGAATACTTATACATAGCAGCACGACGTTCCATTCAATAAGATACGACGCGACTATTCTGTTGCGATTGAGTAGCGGATTGTTCGTTGGTCGTGCGAGGTTGGCTTCCAGGATTTGTCTGTTGCTGCTGATTGCCGGGTTTACGATTACCACCTCTCGGTCCTTTGTAACCACCTCGGAAACCAGAACCACCAGCACCACCACCACCTCGATACATGCCTCCCATTCCACGATTGTAATAACCGCGAGCACGAAAACCACCGCGTCTTGTAGACGCTACACCGAACGTTTCAGAGTTCAACTTGCGCTCAGTCCTCCAGTCTGTACGCTGGAACCGTCTATACAAAAATATATCGAATGATTTATAAACCGCGTTTCCATCATCAGGGTTTTGTTAAATAATCGAATTTTCAATTCATCGACTCACCCTTTACTCCTTTCGACAGCTTCACAGCTGATATTGTCGAAGAACGATTTAGACTTATCGTAATGAACTATCTCAGGCTCCTCCTCGGGTTCACCTTCGCCTGCTCCAGTCTCATTACCACTATCGTCCTTCTTTTCGTTATCAGCACCAGCATCAATCTTCGTTTTCGCTAACTGAGATCTAAAATTATAATATGAAACACGTGATTCAACGTACGATTAAATCTTTGAAGTGTCGATGCGTTGCGTAAACAGAGCATGTACGTGTGACATGTCGCTTTAAAAACGCATAACGTTTCTTTTGCATGGCATCCACATTCGTCATTTCAAATATACATGAAATGAATCCGGCACGGCCATGCTGTAATCTATTTATAAGAAAGAGTTAAGTACGTACCTCAGTTCCTCGAACTCGGTATTGGCTTGCTCGAAATCATAGTCATTATCAAATTTCAGCGTATTCTTCGGCTTGGCACCTGTATTACCAGGCGGGTTCCTGAAACCGCCTCGGCCTCCCCTTCCCCTAGGTCGCATATTTCCACGATTTATCCAGCCGCCGCGATTCCCTCGGTTGCTTTGCGAATGATTACCTTGACCTTGCAATTGACCATCTTGTTTCATCGGATCACGTTTTCCCTCATTATACTGCGACACAGGTCCTCCAGGTTTATTACCACTATGCGGGAAGGGAGAACGTCTAAATTAAAAGTTGCAAAACAAACGTTAAATTAAATTTCACTCTGGAATAATAAAAGATATTCTTATATTTTCGTAAATATGAAATATGTACCTATCATGATCGCGCCGAGCAGGTTGGATAGTTCTCATATTAGTCTTTTCGCCAAGCTTGCCGACATTACCACCTTGCTGCTGCTGCTGTTGCTGCTGATGTCCTACTTGAATACCTTGATCCATAGTTGGGCTTTTTCTAGTTAATAAAGACGATGTCGGCGTCGTTGATCGTGAACCTCCGCTAATAAGATCTAACACACCTACAAGTGGTATAGTAAACAGACGTTCGTATTGCACTCGAATATTATGTACAGCAATGTCAAGGTCAATAATTTAGATACTTATTTAAATATCTAATATAACATGTAGAATATGTAATAGATTTGCGTTAAATTCTTCATTCTAGCATTAAATGAAATGTACGACTACATTGATTATACATTGCATAAAAAACGAATCTGAGAAAAAAATTTCTACATGAAATTTCAACTGTTCTTGCTATTATGTTACTTGCGAATGCAGAATGCTTTCAGTTCTATTTAAATGAAATCCAAGTGCACGTTCAGAATAAAGTCTTAGAATATAAATGCGAAATAAAAGAATTTTCATGCACAAACTAATAAAAAAATTATTGAAAACAATGAGCATGGATTTATAACACAAGCTAATCGTTCAATTAATAAAAAACGCAAATTAAGAAGATCATCATACACATGAAGATATCAAATTTAAATATTAATTATCGAATAATTATTTGCATTTACTTAACACATCAGCTTCAAAATAGAACTCAGATATACGATACTAATACAAATAAATCTTAAAATCAGTATAACAGCACGATGCATATAAGATTAATTTAAATATAAAAGCTTAATAACAAATTTAACATTACAGAAGCAAATTACGATAACGCAATAAAAATATTTCATTGCATAAGCCTTTTGTCTAAAAATATATAAACGAATAAGTGCATATAAAAATATTAATATGAGATAGAAAGTGCTAAAATTATTCAACAATTGTAAATTAATAAGCAAGCATAAAATAATAATAGATATTAGAAAAAGCTTGATGTACGTTCATATTACTGCATTTACGTAAACAAGGAATAATTAAGCAATTGAGAAAAGAAAAGGATTAAAAGTTTTCTTAAATGTGTTATCAGTGCATTACATAAGTAATTAATAAAAAAACTTTTAATTTTCTTATAAGCGGAATCAGCAAGCATTACCAAAGAGGAAGAAGCAAACATGCCATTGGCAAGGGATAGTTCATAGCAAAAACAGTTTACCATCTTCCAAAGATTGGTCTTTTGGTAATGGGTCGACATTGGCCGTCGGTAGTGAGTTTGGGATAGAGATGGCATTGGGTTCTGCAGAGCCCAAGCTCAACTCACTTGGCTGTTTATTCATTGGTGCACGCGGATCTCTAGCAGAAGTTGGCATGCCCATTACCGGTCCCATGGTACCCATTGTCATGCCATAGGGCGTCCCATATTGGCCGCCCATCGGACCCATCATTGGATGAGCATAACTAGGTTGTGGCTGGTATGATTGCTGGCTCATAGACGGTTGCACCGTCATCTATAAATAACCAAATTATTTAGCAATCATAAAGCAGGTGATTCTAAATTATGTGGTTTGTTATTCAACTTGAAATTGATGTCGTTAATATTATATATTATATCTTTAATTTTAATATACAAAAGTGGAACTTAAACAATAATTAAGTTTTTGTATACCACAGGAAGTTGCGTTTCTCTATCCTCAGTTCCGAAAGAACGTACTACATCACGAAAGGAAGAAAAAAGTTTTATACAATAATTATATTTACAAGATAAATATTTTTATGACTTAAATTATTAATTAAAACAATATATAAAATAATATAGATATTATCTAATTTAATAACATAGATTTAAATGAAAATTGAAACTGATATCAAGAAATTGAATTACAACGATTTATTTCAATAGGCTTTGAGATATGCCTGAAAAAAGAAGGACATAAGACATAAACACAAACATGGTCGGGAATGATGAATACAAGAAACGGATTTCACATTATCTAACTTTGAACAGGCAATATACAGTTATATTATTATTGGAAATGTTCCTCACTCAACTACAATTTCCATATTTCAAATTCTGCTTATTTTATTCTCATTTAAAGCAATTTGAGGAACGCAAATAAAATAATATTCATATTAAAAAGAATGCCGTATACATGTAATGTTGAACAGAATTTTTTATATAGGGTATTTTAATACTTTGAAAAGTGAACAGAAATAAGTGTTAATTTAAATAATGTCTGACACAGTTCTTTCATTCTATTGCGTCTAACATTATCACAAACTTAGGAATATTAAGTAGATATTTAATGTATTTGTCAGAACAAAAAGTAAATCCAATGATCTAAATAATTTCGAAAATTACAATTCGTATTAACGAACTCTATACAGATCACCAGTTGTAGGTGACGAGTGACCCCGGTTGTTTTGTATCAAAGCTTTACCGGATGGATCAACTATCAACTATACTTCGAACGCATTTTCGAATAAAATAAGTACGTAGGAATGATAAAATATTCGTAAATTATATTGAGACGAAACATACGAAACAAAAATATGAGGATAGTCGACAGTTAAGACTGGCCGGTATTGGAACAACATAACTGGCAAACGTAGCAGCGGCAAAACTAATTTCGGTGTCCATCTTGATTTGTGAGACTCACCATTAGCCAGAGCAATCGTGCATTCTTGAGGATCAACAGTAAAGAGTCGGCCCTCGTAACGAATATCTGCCTTCGATATTAAACTAATCTTCGAACCCAATTCTGGCATTCCCCCGCTCATCTTGAATGGCTTTCTTCGGCACGATGATCGATGTGATATTACAGGATTCACGATACCATCTGACGAAACGACCAGCTGACACTGAACTGACACCAATGTACGACAGCGAACTCCCAAGTCTACCAACAGAAATTGAGCATCACGCGCATGCGACCCTTACCAATTTGCAAATGGCTTGTAAATTTTTAAATTGCAATAAAGTCGAAAATAGATAGAAAAGCAGAAGCTATGGTAAAGAGAAATATAATAACGTGTCGTAAAATAGTATCTGTTCTATAAAACCATTATACCATGTGTTGACAAACAATTCACGCTAATAACGCTAATTCTAATGCTTATTGAAAAGTGCAATGTTTTTTTTCATTATTCACTTCAAATAAGAATATAGATTTTAAAAGCCTATCTGTGGTCGGTATTCAGAGTCGTTGCTTATTCTTAAGAGCATTTGCTATCCCTGTTTATCCCATGTTTTCCATACATATAATGATTAGGACCGTGAAGTTAGCCCCTCAAGAATCTTTGGGATCAAGTATACAGACATCCAGTCGTTTGAAAGTTAGTCTTGCAACATTGGTATTCTTGATCTAAGTCGCCCTAAGATTAATAAAAAGTTGTGTAAGTACATTTTGATTTCGGTTCCGTGTGTCGAAGGATTTATGAACATGTAAGGATTTGTACGTAATGATAGAAAAATTTAAACAATACAATGCCATCTTATTGGTATGTACATCACTTTTTTACAGACATTTCATTGACTAACAATCCTTGCACATTGTACCTTTATCTAACATGGCGGCTTCATTGGGTCGGGTTTGTAAATCTGGTCTTTTAAAATCGAATTATGGCACATTATTCAATCAGGTATGTAATTTAAAAATATAACTCACCTTTAGATAAATTAGTTTGTCTGCTTCGGAAATATCACTGTTTATCGGGATGTTATTCTTATGATTTCAATGTATCGAAGTCGAAATGAACCTCCTGGCAATCTACACGTCTTGTCGGCTGCTATGACATTTTTTTTTCGGAGGTATTTTAGCTCCGCGTTGTATCTTGCTTCGTCGATTCCAATTAGATACGACTTACATCCGAATAATAAAATCAACAGAATTTGGAAGAGACTTTATTTCATGTTATGTAATACTTAACAGCATAGAAAATTGTGATGCTGCCATGGCCAAAACAGATTTAAAAACTGTGTGGGTAGTTTGAAAGATGAAATTTATGTCAAAATGTATTGTCTTAGATTATTTCAACGATTGTTTGTCTTACATAATGAATTGCAGAACATGTTAATGAAATTAATGTAGAATAAATTGCTCAATGTCTTTTGTCTTGAAATATCTTTTTTACTTCAATAGTACAAGATGATTGTTATTCAGTCAATTGGCTTTTAAAATAAGAACATTCTATTACAGGTTGAAAATGATTTATCTGATGTTTGAATTTCAATTTAGCAGGTGCATAATTTTTCTACTACCAATCAGTGGTCTAGGGGTAGAAAAGTGGTATGTGTGTTTCTATAATCAATTGAAGATGTCTCCCACCCCACTCCTATTCCTAATGCACAACCAATAAAGTTTAAATTCATTATATATATGACTGTAAATCATATTCATAGTAAGTTTCAGTTATTTTTAATAATGCTCTATAGTACTTAAATTACACGTAACGGTGTGCTACTTATATGTGTTATATAAAGCATTCTTCGAGAATGTAAATAATTACAACGAATAATTGATAAATAATTATAGCTGCTGGCATGTTTGGGAGTAACAGCAGGTGGTATTAGTGCACTAATTTATGCTTTGGATCGTTCTGTAAAAGCTGACGATCTAGTAGCACATGCACCAAACCAAAAATGGGGTTTTTATGGAATGCTGAGCTCGCTCGATCACAGGAGGTAATTAGAACTGTAACAAACTTTATCGAAAAAAGTATAATTTACGCATTATTTTTCTTTATTTAGCCTTCGACGTGGTTTTGAGGTATATAAGAATGTATGTGCAGCGTGCCATAGTTTACAATATATAGCTTATCGTCAGCTTGTGGGCGTTACACATACTGAAGCCGAAGTTAAAGCACTTGCAGAAGAAATTCTGGTATTTCTCTTGACACACATTACATAATTTACAAAATGAAATCGTAATAACGTTAATAAATCTGTAAAGAGAAAATGATATTAATTTAGGTGAAAGATGGTCCTAATGATTTAGGAGAATACTTTATGCGGCCTGGTAAATTATCTGATAATTTACCATCTCCATATCCGAATGAAGAAGCCGCCAGAGCAGCAAATAATGGTTCCTACCCACCAGATTTATCCTTCATTATTAATGGAACACATAATGGGGAAGTAAGTTGTTATTTTTATGTGAACTTTCAGTAAATTTACGAATAAATTGATTATTTTTTATCTGAATATTTTACGTTCCAGAATTATGTGTTTTCATTGTTAACTGGGTATTGTGACCCACCAGCTGGTATGCCGCTGAGAGAAGGTCAATATTTCAATCCTTATTTCGCCGGTGGCTTTCTTGGTATGCCGCAAGTAAGTCAAAGCAGTTATTTCAAGTACATAGATATCGATCAATCTATACCAAAGCCAATTTTGTATAACGTTTTAGATTATCAATTCTAATATAATGTTTTAGATTATCTACGATGAGGTACTAGAATTTGAAGATGGCACTCCGGCATCTGCTTCCCAAATAGCAAAAGATGTTGTGGAATTTCTTATGTGGACATCAAACAGTGAATTTGACGAAAGAAAGAGATTAACTATTAAGGTAGCATTTTGTAAATACAGAGAATTGTGAGTTACTACACATTTAATTTTAATGCGATTCTCGTTCATTCACAGATTATGGCTATTGGTATGACGTTAACAGCGCTATTGTATTGGTGGAAGTACCACAAGTGGACGACTGTGAAATCCACTAAATTACTTTACACTCCAAAATACAAGAAGCAGTAAAACCTGTTGCATATAAAGCTACATTAGCTCAAATTAAAACGATTCGACGTTGTTAGGTTCCAGAATCTGAATGTAGTTTTATACCTTGTTTGAGTATTGCGGCATTTAAAAAGAAGCAGAATTGCACGCAACTGATAGACGTTTTACTTAACACGTCAATCGCCTTGTACATATAACTACAACCAATGATGTCGTCTCATTTAAATAAATCGTTGAACTTATTTAACTGAATACTCGCTTCTTTAGTAAAAAAAAATCCCCGAATGCAACTATCATAAGGAATAAAAGTAAAGTTTAAGACTCATTCCCAAAGAAATTGGTTCATTCTTTTTAAACTCAAGTTGATCGACACGGAGTAATCAATTTTTATCTTTATTAGCATGATTTTTAATTACACTATTACATTATTTATAGTGCGAAGCTGATGAAGAGGTATGTATAATGTTTCAGGTAGTTGAGAAATTTCATAATTATTACACAATAAATGTGAACTTGCATTAAGAATCTTATACTTTGGTTTGGATTTACTTTAAAAGTAGGGATAGACATTGCTACAATTTGGATGACAAAATTTTAAAAAATTATAATATGTTTGAAATAATTTATGACTATATTTCGTTTTCTAAAATGTAACATAGTTATGGAAAATCATTTTTCCGCTCTGTATACAATTATATGGGAACGACATAGTTTGTAGCAATCCATAACAGAATTACGCTACCATTACAAACCTGATTCCCTATGATGGTTGGAAAGCTAATTACGGTACTTTGGATGTATATTAAAAATTAAGTATGATTTTAACAATACATCAATTATGAAGCTTGGATCAAAGAGTAAACAGTACATGTATATTTGCACTATGACGAAAGAAACTAGCATATATTCCTAATGTATAAATAGTGGAATGGAAAATTAAACATTTTTAATCTAACGCTTCATACATTGATGTATCCATTAATGCAACAATAAACCATATTAATTATTATAAATCAAATTAGTACTTCATATGATCCCATTGTAACGTAACTTGTTTATCAATTGAGAAACACTTTTCCACTTTCTTTTTTTTTGTTTATATAGAATAAGAGGCCGTTCTTGGATGATGTCTCAACCAAATACGCTCAATACATGCTCACTTTTATGCTACTTGCACAAAAAGGCACATTATTACATCAAATGTCGATCTCAACAACCTGCTATTTGCTAAAATTTTAATAACAACTAACAGAGAAAAGTAAATAAAGGCTTGGTAAAAATGAGCACACGGAAATATAAATTATTAAAATTTAGAATTGTCTATAATAATAGTTACTGAGACACCTCCGCAAAGCATGAAATGGCACTTATGCACAAATTGAAACGTTTAGCTAATTCTTATTCAGGCATTATCTTTTTTTTTTTTCGTTTAAAAAACTTTGAAGGCATAAGTTGTTCTTACTGATTATTACTTTTATTACACAGTCTGTGTTTCCAGTTTTAAGAATCAAAATATGACTTTTGTTTTAGATTATATTAACTTAAAAAGCTGAAACAGCATTTTCGTACATTACATGTGCTTGCATATCTTTAAAATAAAATATTAAAATTAATAGAATAATTTTACCTACATAGGAAATCTGCTCTAAGCTCACGAAACCATAAGTCATAAATTGTTCATGAATTTTGTAAGTAAATATCTGTTGAAAATTGAAAACACTGATTCAACTTTTATAGTTATCATCACCTTCGTTTTTTCTTTTTTTATACAGATGTTATTTCTTAGCATATGTCTTTACTCGGCACCCACTTAATATTATTTGGTACCTTCATTGAATCTTGCCCCGTGCTACCGCAGGAAGGAAGAGGTGTTGTGTTTATATGTGGTTAGGCTAAAAGGTTGTACCTTCCGGAGGCTGAGACAATTTCATATTTTCCTTCAGTGTCATTAAACGGCGAAGTTCTTGAAGAACTGTCTTAATTGTGTACTCTCGTTGCCATTTTGCAAGCACTGGCACACTGCGGTTATCAACCTATACAATTTAATATAAATCAATTATTTACTTGCATGTGTTAAAATTTAAAGAAAACAAGAGTGAATACTTACTGCACCAGTAGTACTGTTGATACAATTCATATTAATCCTGCTTAAAAATCTTACATTGGGAGCATCGTCTGGGTATCTCTGGCCACAGTCAATTTTCAAACTATACATCCTATTTTCATATGGTGTCTAGAAAATTATGAGAATATTGTATATTCTATGCAATAATAGATTTAATTGATATTGTTCTAAGAATATTTAAAAGATCATAAATAATGTGGATAGTGCGCTAAATTTTCATTTTCATATTATATGCAGAATTAGTCAATTAGAAATAATATCAAGAGTAAATTACTCTAGGTGGTCCAATTATCATTCCAGTCCAATGTGTAAGAGTCATGTCATCATCGTTTTCCAAACCCCAACTGATTGTACCATCACCTACACCTTTTTGTCCTTGTTCTAATTCCTCTAGTAAACGAAAGTTTCGAGGCACAACTAAAAGTATAAAATTAATATTATCATTTGTAATACTAGTACTAATAACAACAAGTATTAATTTAAAAAGCTGAAATAAGTACAGGTTATGAGCCTGTGATTTTGGGTACGTGCAATTTGTTTCTATTAATGCACTTATAATCTCTTATTAAGTGTGTTTAAATTTGCGTGTATGAGGAAATCAAAATAATGACTGCAAGTTCATAAGGTTAAACGAAACATTGATTAGCTTTAAACACGTTTACTGTGCATGATAGCTTATTATAACATTGTACGTCTGCTCTTATGCTTTACCAAATTTTTGGGGATGTAATTTGAACAATGAAATTTATTTTATAGATAGTTTTTTAACTTTAATTGTATTGTATTTACTAAGTGCGAGGTCTACTCGTTTTTCTCATCGTTAGCTCGTAAAACAGACATAAAATACTTACCCACACCGGTAGTAGGTACCGCCATGATATCTTATTTTTGTGAAGCGCTGTATATTTTTCTAAGGAATAGCAAATAACACGAAATAATGTACTCTGAAATAGTCCACGTTAGGATGCGCGAATTATCTATAACGCGAATCTTTCATCACCCAAAGGTAAGACAAGGCAAATAATATCTAATGTTCAAGTGAAATTCACTTTGCGAAAATTCAGCCAACCTCCGTGAGGTTGTCTGTTTCCACAGACTGTTCACTTACTAGACGGTATTACTGCATCATTCATTTCGGATTTCACGATTGCCAGGATCATGCCAGGATTGTTTTTACAAACATTCATTGTTAAAATGTCAGAACAATTCGCAACATTTCGGAGATCCTCAATATTTTCAAGCTACATATTAATTAATAAAGCAATCTAAAAATTGTAGTATTGCATAATCCATATATTTACATGTCTATAGTAAATAATTATTCTGTTTTTAACAATACGAAAAGGGAAGAAAAGTTATGCAGTGAAATTAAGGAGGGTTATGGATATCAGTGGATATAATTTCTATTGTAATAATAAGAGTCTGGGTGATGTTGCATAGGACTACTCAGTATTAGATTTAAAAATCAATGCTTAAATCAGAGTTCTGCGTTATATGTAATTTCGCGAGCGTTAATTCTCGCAAAATATTGAGTTTTTTAATATGAGATTAGAGTTCCAGCATATTTCGATACGGAAATACAGAAGTGACCTGAAAAGAATGGAGGTTGGTACAAATGACGTTGACTGGTAGTGGGGAGGAAGTCGGTAGTATCGTACCGGCTGTGCGCAAGAGCAGTGTGCGGGGCAGATTTTTCAATAATGAACAACCCGTGGCAACTGTCAGTCTGCTCGTGGTGCATTCGTTGACTCTAGCTGCGCACAGTGTGTCCCGGCGTGTGTTAAAATGTGCTGGACGATTAATTGAATAATACCTCTGCACGCGGATTACTTGAAGAACGCCGTGGGACCTTGCAGTGAAACAGGTACGTGGACAAGAAGTATTTGAATTTTTTCGCCAATTCAAAGACCTGCCCCGTTAACGGAGTAGCGAGATATATCTATTGAGGGTGCATACCATATAAACAAACGAACGCCATTGACCTTTACTCGCACATTGTTACTAATTTCTTAATGTTCAGAGCAATTTCTGGTTTTAATAGATTACAGTCATCTTTTAAGTTTCTGTATTAGTTCGTTCATATGATTTTTTCATTCGATTATTGATATTTGTGATACGGAAAATATACTAGGGGGATGAACTGTAAACAGAGATATCAAAACAAGTCGGTTTCTAATTAATAATCAACGATACGATGAAAATTGTTGAACTTCATCATTATTTACAATTTTATGATTGAAATTTTATTGATTTTTGTAATTTATTGATTATACTTACTTACATTTGATTACGTATTATACTCAGATTTTATTTTTAAATTATCATTCATCACTATTACTGCAGAGACTATAAAAATGATAAAAATTGACTTTTTTTGTATAACGATAGGCGACACAAACAGCATATCCATTTTTGTGCAAACCAGACGAAAATTGAACGTTTGACGTTTTTCGACAGTACGCTACAAGTAATTTCAAACACTTTTATTTTCCTTCAATGGCTTCATAATATTTCGTAAACGAGTTTCTGTCACGTATGCAAGAGCTCTGTCGCTGGGCGAAAGCTGCCGTAAAACATTCGGGATAGAATCGTGCAAAACGATAATTACGCCACGGTCAAGTTTCAATAGTTTCAACTCCCACGCATCTAGTTTTAACCCAGTAACTTTTCTCCAATCGAACGGGCTTGTTCGATCGTGACTGTTTTCCATTCCGATTGTCGTGCATTGTCGTCAATGAACGCGACGGTATAAGCGAACCGTGGAAAAGAGAACGACGAAAGTATACGAGAAAGCAATTAATCTAGCTGCGCACAGTGTGTCCCGGCGTGTGTTAAAATGTGCTGGACGATTAATTGAATAATACCTCTGCACGCGGATTACTTGAAGAACGCCGTGGGACCTTGCAGTGAAACAGGTACGTGGACAAGAAGTATTTGAATTTTTTCGCCAATTCAAAGACCTGCCCCGTTAACGGAGTAGCGAGATATATCTATTGAGGGTGCATACCATATAAACAAACGAACGCCATTGACCTTTACTCGCACATTGTTACTAATTTCTTAATGTTCAGAGCAATTTCTGGTTTTAATAGATTACAGTCATCTTTTAAGTTTCTGTATTAGTTCGTTCATATGATTTTTTCATTCGATTATTGATATTTGTGATACGGAAAATATACTAGGGGGATGAACTGTAAACAGAGATATCAAAACAAGTCGGTTTCTAATTAATAATCAACGATACGATGAAAATTGTTGAACTTCATCATTATTTACAATTTTATGATTGAAATTTTATTGATTTTTGTAATTTATTGATTATACTTACTTACATTTGATTACGTATTATACTCAGATTTTATTTTTAAATTATCATTCATCACTATTACTGCAGAGACTATAAAAATGATAAAAATTGACTTTTTTTGTATAACGATAGGCGACACAAACAGCATATCCATTTTTGTGCAAACCAGACGAAAATTGAACGTTTGACGTTTTTCGACAGTACGCTACAAGTAATTTCAAACACTTTTATTTTCCTTCAATGGCTTCATAATATTTCGTAAACGAGTTTCTGTCACGTATGCAAGAGCTCTGTCGCTGGGCGAAAGCTGCCGTAAAACATTCGGGATAGAATCGTGCAAAACGATAATTACGCCACGGTCAAGTTTCAATAGTTTCAACTCCCACGCATCTAGTTTTAACCCAGTAACTTTTCTCCAATCGAACGGGCTTGTTCGATCGTGACTGTTTTCCATTCCGATTGTCGTGCATTGTCGTCAATGAACGCGACGGTATAAGCGAACCGTGGAAAAGAGAACGACGAAAGTATACGAGAAAGCAATTATATAAACAAATGAGTCTTCCTCGGTTTATTTCATAACAATTGTTCATGTACACTTGCACGTACCGTTATAAACACGATTAACTTCGATAATATTCAATTCTGTTGCCCTACGTACTAGGAACTTCGCGTACAATCGTAGGAATTATTAGCCGGACGTAATGCGTTTACTGTCGTTGCCATGAAGTTCTTTTTAATTATAAATTTGTCGTTGCGTGGCATGGCGTGGCGTCAATGGCACGCGCGCATTATTGCGATCGCGAAAGCTTTCACCGCGCGCGCCCACTTCGCAACGTGGATTGACCGTTATCGTTCACGTTCGATAACATTGTTGAAAAGAATACGTCAATACGGTCGAGCAATATGGCATGGAATAAAAGCTAAGTCGCATTATCTAGTAATTGCAAAAATTGCTGTATATTTCCGGCTTTTGAACCATGTTATCAAATACTTATGGGCGACGTATCAAGTTTTATTTATTAAATTGCCGAAACTACGAATAACAAAACTATATGAATCGTTAATAAAAGTACGTACGAACGAGTACGACGATGCGAGCAGCATTTTCCATCTCGGAATAATTACTGTTTTGCCACTGTTTGAGATTAAGGTCGCTTCAACTATAGTATATTTCTGACAATAGAGGATTTCACGTAGCTTTACCATCGTCAGAAATTTACAGAGGGATATCTTTTTTTAATTTTTCATTATCATTTTCCCTCGTTTTATCAAACAAACGAGGAAACTGGCACACGCGTGTGTTTAAGCATCTTTGGATGCAACGCGATAAAATATTCGCTTGAGTGGTCGTTTTATCTTTCGAATTCATCGAACAGTCGATGCATTATGTTGCATCGTACAGACAGCGGCGTACATTTAGGAAATCCCTTAGAAAACAAACGTAACGCGGTCGTTTTCAAACGATACGAAGAGGAAGGTATAAGAAACGTTAATGTATCAAAAGTAGGTGCCGAAAACCATTTTTATCCCGGGGACACTTAGCGACCTCCGCCCACTGGTGACATTTAAGAGATACGAAACCATGTGCGTCAAAGTATCTTTAAATACGACAAGACGAATCTGTGCCGGGTGTTGCTGATGGGTTTACATCAAAAACAGTGTTATAAAGTTAAAAGTACCGGAACGTAATCATTCACGTATTAGTGTATAAATGTATAAAGAGAAATTCGTCATGATCATAACTCTTTAGCAGCGTAATTATTAGAAAGTGATTGGAACCGGAAAAATTAGATGAAACTTTGCAAGCGGAAATGGTATGAAAGTGGTGTCGTATAAATTCTTAATCGTGGCCTCCGAGCAAGGAACCTGGCTCCCTCGTTACATGCTTTTACGAGGTAGGTGATTACATTAATTAGGCGCGACAATGTGTTTTCACGAGGACATGAAACACGGTGTCGAAGGTGGACATTTTGAGATTGTTCCGAGGCACTTAAAAATCTTTCTTCTTGCTAGCGTCTCTATTTCCCGCCTCGTAACATGCACCGGCTTTGGAAGTTTTTAGATAAAAAACGAGAACCAGAATGGCTGGGAAGAATTTTTTTATTACGAATTACTCGAAATACACCCTTTCCGCGTTTCCCGTCTCCTTCGAGCGTGTTTTAAATGCAAAACACTGCTTTCCACAGAGCAACGCCTTTTAGCGCTGAAACGCGACCCATTAAGGGGGATCTTTTCCTGTCGTCCATTGTCGCCAGCGAGTAATTATGCTAACTTTCAAAAATCAGGAAAGCACGTACTTTATTTCCCTTTCCGAGCAATTCCGAGAATGCTGATTTTCTTTTACCGCATGCATTATAGAAGTGAAGTTAACAAATTGGCTTTATTCATCAACTACGGACAATTTTAAATTCTATCATGAATTTAAGTTGATTTTATAAGCCCACCGAGACCGTGATACCGGAAACGAGTTTTACCCCACGAACTCGTGTCTCTATTTCCGCAAATGCAGCTGGATATTTGCGGAAGCACGCCGAGTTTCTTGCGTTTCAGAACTTTTCGAGATGCGAGCATCGTATTTCAACGTGGTTCGTTATAAACGCAATTTTTGTTGTTCCTCGGCTTATTTATGGTCGTCGTGCCAGCTAGACGGAACTGTGTGTAAATCTAAGCTACGTAGCACCTCCGGTCCGCGATTCGTGCAAACGCTTCCATTGGGTTCGTGCCAGTTTATCCGTCGAGAGTAGTCGCGGTTTAGAGGGCGGGAGGGTTGAACGTGGCCTAGAGTTTTCCTTTCTGCCGAAGGTCTTTTATACCCTTGGAGACTTCATCGACTCGGTTACCGCGACATTCGCATCCCGGAAGCTGGCAATTCGATGCGCACGGTATAGTTGCTTGTCTCATTCACAAATAAAACGGAGTTTCGAGGTTGAACTACATCTCTCCTCTTTTTTTCTGTCCCTCGCGTTGATGAGTTTTCGGAAAGCTGATCTTGAATATGTTTAGAATGTTATGCTAACAAGTACAGTTGTGTCGGATCTTAGCGAGACTAATCTGATTATATCAGTACGCCATAAATAGAGACAAACAAGTTCATGTGGTATCATACTTTTAACCGATGATATTCATATTCCAGTGTTATTTCATTCCATTTCAGAAATGTAAATTTAATCTTCATTTCCATAAATGAGAGGCGTGTAGCATCGCATATGAAATTTGCAAATGAAATTATGACCTAAGAGAAAGTACATTAATCCATTTATATTATGTACCCTGTTCGTGTGCTTTTTTTTTAAATTTAGCATATGTATTTGTTATGCATTAAAGGAGGAAGGTAATTGTCCCACTTGCATGACTCACCGACTCTCACCGATGTATGTATGTATAATTTATGTACGTATAATTTAATAATACGATCCGAAAGAATTGAATAATGCACCTGTACTACTTCTCTGCAGCAGTTACGCGTAGTTGTTAATAAAGGTGCGTGTATCGTTGTCTTTGTTAACAAGTCGCACCTGAGGTAATCACGGTATATTGGCACGCTCTCTATTCTTATCGCTCGATAGAGTCTGATAATTGTTTAAGATAACACAATTCATGGCAACGAATATTTTCGTAGTAATTGTTTTTATAGGGGCGGAGAGAAAAAGAACTTTTGGCGAACGTTTCGCATGCAATTTCCGTTTTCCTCTTTGCGCGTGCACGTTATCACCCTACTCTCGTTTTCACCTCCGTGTTTACCCCTTACAGCGTACACAGCGAGCATACAGCGTATTTGTCAAACGTAACACCGCGCAGGTATACACAGTGCGGCGAATCAAGGTTTTGTTCCTTTTCTTTATTTCGAAATACATTCTCTGCCCTAACAGTTTCGTGATCTGCGAATATAATTCCGTACGTTATTGACGCGCAATCCAACTAGCTTTTCAATTATTCGCCCAATCAATGGAGATATCGAAACGTTTGAGAATCGATTTATCGAGCGTCGAACGAACCGGGCCTTTTACGTTAAAATAATATCCAGAATTGGTAATTCCCGGTATAACCGGTCCGTTTCGGTGGATTTTAAATTATTAACGCTGGTAATATGTACGCGCCTGCCGACGTGACAGATGTAGGTTGTACCAAGATTAAAATCATTTCGTGGCCGTAGCTGTAGCCGTAACGACCCGCTGATGTCGATTGGGAGGATGGGGGAAAAACGGCGGACAATGCGTCTAGGACGATTGCCGATGAAAAACCTTCGGGAAAATCGATCGCCGGCCCACGTTCCCCGTGTTTTTCTCCCTTAACCCCAGTCTCCAGGGGTTGTTCACAGAGAACCCTCTGAAGCGTCCTTGGAGACCGTCCTTATTTTAGGTCCGCTCACCCTCGAAATAGTTAACGAGATTCATCCCGTTGAGCTTGGCTTTCGGGAAGAATAAGAGCAGAAAAGGGACAAAAAATATACATCCTAAACTCGTCGCTCGGTTACTCTCACTTTCACGAATCGATAACGCACTCCTTTGCATGCGCGTCACGCACAGAAAATGCTTCCGTTTTGCGTTTTCTTTTTTTCTTCTGTCGCAGCCTCTGAATCTCCGTACAAGCAGGGCTAAAAAGCGTTCG